GTATGGGAGACAAGTCCTTTCCTATCCGTAATTAAACCACAATACCACGAGTCCGAAACCTAAATGCCAACATTTTGGACGCAAAAAACGTTTATACAGTGTAAAAAAAAGTTACTTTTCTATATAAAACGCGCTACCGCGTTTTACTTTAACGGAGTTTTAGCCGTTAAAGTAAAGCGCGGTATAATATTACGTTTTACATATAGCGCGGTATTATACCGCGTTTTACTTCTTTTTGGGCCCACCAATAAGTGTCATGCGGTTAACTGACATAACAATAATTCACATATATATAGCGCGGTATTATACCGCGTTTTACATCAAAAAGTTCTGCCCCCCCCCCCCTCCCCCCCGAGCTAGGACTTGCCTTATTTAAAGGCGTTAGGATTTTATGAAATTCCATTCAAAACTTACCTTCAAACTTCCGTTCAAATTTTTCTTCTTGTTATCAAGCATTTTTTATAATGTCTGAAGAGCCAAAAATAAGGGTTTCATTATATTGGGAGGGGGGGGGGAGGGGGAGGGGTGGTGAGGTATAGTTTATCTCCACAGTGTCATGTTAAATTGCTGCTTACAATGGAGTATGATAAATTGGTATCGTTGATATGTAAAAGAATGAGTGTGAGAAATCGTTCGGTGAACCTTAACGTGACCGGTAGATATCCGTATTCTGTGACTCCGCAGGGATTTGCTTTTTATTCTGAGTTTAACATCGAAGATGATGAAACTCTTAGAGACTTTTTGCGGATTCCGGATGAATACAGACAATTTATTGTGATAAAATTGTTGGAAATGTACGTCAAGGTTGAAGACGTTCCCAATAATGAGGTTGTGCATAGTAGGGATAAGCCCCAGTCATCGGGTGGTTATTCTGGAGCAGTTTTTGCCGGATAGATTCCTGATGAAAGAGTTTGCCTTGATTTAAACTTATCAACACTGGCGAATGAGCAGCGAGAAAATAATTTCTTGACTTTACATAATCCACAAGACGACTGGAAAACTTCAATTTTTCTACGCTTTAACGATGTTTATTTTATGTTGAATTTGATTTGTATTAACACTCATATTTTCCACAGGGGGTACCGTCCGGATATAAATTTTACAAGTTATGACCCCGCTCCTACTTGGAATATGCGCAGTTCTGGCGTGTTGGATCACGGTGGTCCATCCGGGAGTCATCACCAACAAGAAAATGTCCATCATGGAATGTCAACACAGTACGACTTGTAAGTAAAGTGATATAGTTATATGTAAAGTATTTATCAATTTAAGTAGCTTATCATTTTGTTCTTTTTGTACAGTGAAAACGAGCAACTTGATGTTCCTGAGACGACGTATTGACTCGTGATTTGGCAGATGCGCAGAGTCAGGAAGATGATAGTGGTTATGACAACAAATCCGATGAGTCTGGAGATGAGACACTCTTCCTTGACGAGGGTGATGAGGAGGAGGAAGTGAATGTCGAACCTGAGCTGACGAGGAAGCGTGCTCCTCCACCTCCCGTTAGACCAAGAGTGTACGAGTCGCACGTGCCGTTTTATGAGCGGAATATTCCCTACCTTGATAATTTGCCAAGTATGTCGGATGTGTATGCCCTCACAAGGGATCTTGACAAAATTCGGACAGCAATGTAGGATGAGACTAGACCAACGGTGCTGGAAAAGGGCATGTATTTTCTCGATAAAGCTCGCCTAATCAGGGCTGTAAAAATCTACAGCGTAAGAGAGTGTCGTGAGATGACGGTAAGGGAGTCAACTCCGGAGGTATACAAGGATGTATGCCGTAGAGACTTTATGGGTTGTAACTGGATGTTGCGTGCGAGCAAGAAGAAATCAGGGTTGTGGAAAGTGGGTAAATATAGTAGCACCCACAGATGTGAAATAGACACATTCAATGAGAATTACTTCAACTTGGATGTAGAGTTGATTTCTCTTGTCTTGATTCCATACTTCGAAGTGTCCATTAGGTTCAAGATCAAGGAGTGTATTACAGCCGTCCACCAGGAATATGGGTGTACTATAACCAAAAGAAAGGCATATCTCGGGCACAAACGTGCTTTTGAAATTATTTATGGTAACTGGGATAAGTCATTTTCATCTCTACCCAGGTACATGGCCGCACTAAAACACTTTAACCCCGGGATTGTTGTTGAATGGAGGCATGAGCGGAGTCCGAGAAGACCGGAATATATTTTCAACTATGTGTTCTGCTCATTTAAACCAGTAATTGATGGTTTTGTGCATTGTTGTCCGGTAATTTCCATAGACGGTACTCATGTCTATGGAAAGTATGATATTAAACTTTTGATCGCAGTTGCAGTAGATGCCAACGGACAAATATTTCCACTAGCTTTTGCCATTTGTGCAATTGAAAGCGAAGAGACGTGGACACTTTTTTTAAACCACTTGAAGCAGCACGTTGTCAAACAGCGTTCAGGTATTTGTCTAATATCTGATCGCCATGGTGGTATTTTAAGTTCTGTACGGCATTTGCCTGAATGGCAGGAACCCTATGCATACCACAGTTACTGTGTGAGGCACCTGAAGGCCAATTTCTAGAAGAAATATCTTGACAAGGCCTCGCATGATTTAATGTGGTTGGCTGCAACTGAGCACCAGCAGTGCAAATTCACGAGGCGCATGGAAGCGATCCGGCAGTTAGATCCATGAGCCTATACTTGGCTGATGGGACATGAGCTTCACAAGTGGACATTGCATGCTGATGGTGGCAGACGATGGGGAGCCTTGACTACAAATGTGTCGGAGTCATTCAACAGCTTATTGAAGTCTGCACGTGGATTGCCTGTCACTGCCATGGTCCGGATGACATTCAAACAGATTGCGGAGAGGTTTGTTGAAAGGCATAGAGTTGCATCGGAATTGATGGACAGGGGTGTTCAATTTATGCCAACACCGATGAGAAGATTTGATAAATACAGGGGGCGAGCACATTGGCATTCATATTTACAGTACGATCACGACCGGGGTATTTTTGAAGTTCGCACCGCTATCCGCGGACACCGGGGGAATAATCTACACACCGTGAATGAAGCCAGCAGATTGTGTTCATGTGGGAAATGGACCATCTACCACAAGCCGTGCGCACATGCCATGAAGTGCTTTCAACAAGTTGGTTTAGGGGCAACCAACTATGTTGATAGGCAATTCAGTGTTGCTGCATACGTAAGCACATATAGTGGGCAGTTGCAGCCATTGGGTGCTGAGAATTATTGGCCGCCGGAACCATTTAAAATGCTGTGTAACAAGGACTATTTGTGCAAGCTGCAAGTGCAAAAGAGAACGCGTATACGGAACCAAATGGGTGTTGGTGATACCGTTTATGCGCGTAAATGTGGCATATGCGTCGTAAATGTCCTTCAGCTGGTCTGGGTGGCGGTGGTAATCCAGCTCCTGGTGCAAGTTCGTTGAATGTACCCAACTATCAAGGATACACCTAGTGTTTTATTTTCGTAATATTTTTGTAATAAGTGTTTGTACTTGTTCGTGTTGCAATATCTATCAAATAAAATTATGTTCCACAGTCTTGTTGCATCTTATTTTTTAACATGACATTTTGAATTGGGATGATGGTACGATAGTACCAACATTCAACTTATTGGTGTTAGTAAAGAAGACCAATCTGAAGATTGAAATTTCGTAACATAATATTCGAAGAGATAAAAGCTCAACAACCATAACTAAAGCAACATACATGAAAATAAAAGATAATAAAGGCTAAATCAAGACAAAGCTGCTTCATTTTAGAAAAATTGAATATGTATAGCGCGGTACAATACTACGTTTTGTGTGTTGTCGTGTCGGTCTGAAAAGCTGACCGACTGCGAAAAAGCTGTTTTGTTTCAAAAAAATTAAATATGTAAAGCGCGGTACAATACTGCGTGTTGTGTGTTGTCTTGTTGGTCTGAAAAGCTGACCGACTGCGAAAAAGCTGTTTCGTTTCAGAAAAAATGAATATGTATAGCGCAGTACAATACTACGTTTTGTGTATTGTCTTGTCGGTCTGATATGCTGACCGACTGCGAAAAAGCTGTTTCGTTTCAGAAAAATTGAATATGTATAGAGCGGTACCGAAACGTCGTTTTGTGTGTTGTCTTGTCGGTCTGAAAAGCTGACCGACAGCAAAAGAGCTGTTTCGTTTCAGAAAAATTGAATATGTATAGCGCGGTACAATACTACGTTTTGTGTGTTGTCTTGTTGGTATGAAAAGCTGACCGACTGCGCAAAAGCTATTTCGTTTTAGAAAAATTGAATATGTATAGCGCAGTATAATACTATGTTTTGTGTGTTGTCTTGCCTATAAATACGGGCGCATTCTAGTTATTTTCTGCTTAACAATAACCAATAGAAAAAATTTCATAAATTCAAGGTTTTTCTTTACGCTTTAACAAATGTCTGGACCCCTTTATGTCACAAGGTGCGAGTGCGGCAAAAATGCATGATGCACGACTGTTGGGAAGAAACTGGACGCCGCTACTGGGCGTGTATGAACAAGTTCTATAGGGTTCCCGACGAACCTGTTTGCAATTTTGAGGTATGGATTGATGAACCCTGTCAGTGGGAATACTAAAAAGAAAAGTTGCAGCAACTTCATTGTTTGTGTTTGAAGCAGTGGGAAAGAGAGCGACAATCCAAACGAGAAGTTGCGGAGTTGAAGGAGAAACTCAAGGAGGTGGAAGAAGAAAAAAATAAGCTGGAAGACAAATTTAAGTGGTTGGAGCAGAGAATACTAGGCGGGCGTGACTAAACAATGACATGTACGTGTTGAGTGTAGCAGTGTATATTTATGTTTCCCGTGTCATGTGTTTTCATTAGTTATACTGAATTTAAGTTATGTTAAGTTTGTTATGTTTGTGTTTGCGTTGTAGTCTTAAAATAAAATTGTTGTTCAAATTGTGTTAAAATACAAATTGTTGTTAAAATAAAATTCTTATTGTTATTTACATAATGTATTATTTACATAAAATAAAAACAAACAAAAAATCAATGTGTCTCACAGCCTGTGTACTTCAATGCAGCCGCTGGCCTGAGGCGCATCCCCTGGCACCCGGGTACACTATCACAATCATCCTCATCAAGTCGCCTCTTTATATGAGGATGCGCTGCAGCATGATCGTCAGTAGGGCTGGCAGGATAGGTAGAAGGGGTCGTCGGTCTGTCAGCAACCTACAAAACAATTAGTAAGCTTAGTATATGAAAAAGTATATTAGTAATGTACGTGTTAAGTCAAAAACATTTTCTTACCATGGTCTCGTCGGGCTCCTGAATATAAGCTTCCGTGGTGTCCTCAGCATCGCATAAAGTGGGCTCCGTGATGGGCTGGGATGAAGCCTTAATAAGAAAATTAAAAATTAATCTATGGCAAATCATTGAGGAAAAAAAACAAATTAAAATTTAATAGAAATACAAACATACCTGCGCCTGTGATAGATCCGCCGCAACCGCCGACGATGAGCCAAAACTCAACCTGCGCCCACCATCCAAGTCTCGGGTCGGCCGATCCTCAGCTGCGGTAGATGGGCCTGAAAAGAACTTCTCTATGTCTGCGGTAAAGCTCATGCCCGTGATCAACAATGGATCTGGCGGGGTCACCTGCGATGCTGGCAGCTCCAGCTAAAGGCTGTACGACGGCATGCTGCTGGAAGGCTCGTCTTGCTGAGGGATGTAACCCGGCTGATCATCTCCAAGATCCTCATCAGGTGCCTCAACGGGTGCCTCAACACCCCCTTGCTAGGGACCACCTCCTCCCCGTCCCCCACGACCCCGTGAGGTACCCCTGCCTCGTGGGATAGCCCTGCCTCGTGGGGCAGCCCTGGCTCGTACCCGGTCCCTCGGGTGCGATAGGCCTACCCCGGTGGTGGTGCTCTGGCACCACATAATTAGCAACGTGATCTAACCTCCCGCCCTCTCTGGCTCGTTGCAGTGTCCGGAGAACATGCTCTATCACCTGCCGGCCATACTCAGTGACTACAGGATTGTCAGCATGCTGCTGCATCTGCACTCCCAACTGGTAGAATAAATGATGACCAATAGCCTGCACAACATTTGAAATATTAATTACAGAACGCTATATCATAGGTATAAGTATGGGTTCCAAAAATAACGAACCAGTGCCTCGTGCCTCCCGGCGTATGGTCTGTACCGACCGCCAGCTTGATGAACGGGATTCCTGATAAAAAGTCGGGTAACACCGCGGTACCAGGACGTATACATTGGAATAGTTGCCGCCTGGATCTGTGAAGGTGGCAGCGGAATCAGGTCCTCTCGCTGGTCCCAAGTATGGACCTGCGCCTTTAGCCATGCTAGAAATGCGTCGTCCGACCTCGAACGATCATCCCGCTGATAAAGTGTAGCCTCCCATGTAGGCCCCCTCGGTATAGTCTGCGGATGGCCAAACTGGCGAAGTACCCGCTCTATGGCATGATGCTCCACAATATCGAGGCACATTAGCGGGACGGAAGTGCTCCAAATCAGTTGGCCGGCCGAGCAATAATCGGGCAGGCCAGCTATCAAGTCATCACTGTATAGCGTCCAGATGAACTATCAAATAATAACATAAAAGTGAGTATGCGCAAGACAAGTGAATTTATAACAAGTAAGTTTAGGTACACATTTACCTGTGCGGCCTCCAGCATATCCAACGCATCCTTGACAAGGGGGAGATTATGATGAGCATCAATGGCTTGGTAATTTCCACGCCGGAGAACCCACCTCCTAGCTAGAGGGAGAAATGGAGGTGCTACATCCGGAGGTAATGGTGGTAGAGGTGGTAGCAACGGTAGGAAGCGCTCCCAGGCCCAAACCTAACATACAAGGTTGACTTAAAGTTTAAGAGTCATTTTGACTATATAGAATTGGAAGTAATGAACAGAGTATTCGAATATGTTGTCACCTGTAGAAGCGGCAGAAAACTACATACGTCGTTCTGGGTGCCCATGCTTGCCCGGCACATACTCCTGTACAGGTAAGCGAGAACAGCAGCACCCCAGCTGTACTAGGGTAAATCATCTAGCTGCTGAAGATGATGTAGAAATCGCATACTCACTAGATTTTCCGAAGTGTTCGGGAACAAGACACCCCCAAAAAGAAGGAGCAGCGCCAACCTCGTGTACCGGTGAATATGTAGATCATCTGTTTCGCAGGTGATGTCGGGGTGCAATACCTCCAGATGCTGTCTAATAGCTGTCACAGAAATGCGACTGCCCTCTAAAGCTGCAGTCTCACCCTGTGGCCTGAAACTAGTGAACTGCTGCAGCAAGTCCAAATACTGGGCACGCAGCATAGATCTCATATACTGAGGCAGTGCAACGGCCAGTTCATCAGCAGGCAGCCCATATAAAACCTCAGCATCCTGAAGTGTGATGGTGGCCTCGCCAATGGGCAGGTGGAAAGTGTGCGTCTCCGGTTGCCACCGCTCTATCAAGGCCATGATAAGAGACCAGTCGAGCTGCAATCGCCCAATCTGAAAAATCCTATGGAAGCCCGTATCCCGCAGGCGCTGGACTACACGGGGATGGAAATCTCTGCCCCTCATAAAGTCCCACACATCGTCCACTCTCCTGGCGCGGAGAGTATGCTCTAGATCTCCCGCCCATACGTAGGCGGACCTATGATCGCCCTGTAACACTAATATCTCATCCGAGAAAGGTCCAGGATGCACAGGCGGCACGTCCATGTCGTCTACTGTAAATTAAACAATATTAATTGTGTGTTTGTGTTATAATAATTAATATTTTAATTATTTAATTGGACAGAGTATATATCTATAGTTCCAGGCTCGATATTTGAGTCCCAGTAGCACCAAGCTATCCTGAATTCTTATGTGTGTCAATTTTAATACTTTTCATAATTTTGTTTGTGTTATAATAATTAATTTTTAATTATTTAATTGGACAGCGTATATATCTATGGGTTCTAGGCTCGATATTTGAGGCTCACTAGCACCAAGCTATTCTGAATTCTTATGTGTGTCAATTTCAATATTTTTAGAATTTTGTTTGTGTTATAATAATTAATGTTTAATTATTTAATTGGACGGCGCATATTTCTATGGGTTCCAGGCTCGATATTTGAGGCCCAGTAGCACCAAGCTATCCTGAATTCTTATGTGTGTCAATTTCAATATTTTTAGAATTTTGTTTGTTTTATAAATTAAATAATTAATTTTTAATTGGACAGCGTATATGTCTATGGGTTCCAGGCTCGATATTTGAGGCCCAGTAGCACCAAGCTATCCTGAATTCTTATGTGTGTCAATTTCAATATTTTTAGAATTTTGTTTGTTTTATAAATTAAATAATTAATTTTTAATTGGACAGCGTATATATTTATGGGTTCCAGGCTCGATAGTTGAGGTCCAGTAGCACCAAGTTATCCTGAATTCTTATGTGTGTCAATTTCAATTTTTTTAGAATTTTGTTTGTTTTATAAAATAAATAATTAATTTTTAATTGGACAGCGTATATATCTATGAGTTTCGGGCTCGATATTTGAGGCCCAGTAGCACCAAGCTATCCTGAATTCTTATGTGTGTCAATTTCGATATTTTTAGAATTTTGTTTGTTTTATAAATTAGATAATTAATTTTTAATTGGACAGAGTTTGTAGTGTGTAGATACTTAAACTACAGAGATTCTACGCTAAAAGGCTCAACTTTACTACGCTAAAAGGCTCTATATTTTACTACGCTATAAGGCTCTATATTTTACTACGCTATAGGGGCACTAGTCTTTAAGCAAATAAATAATCTAAACTAAATAAAAACAACAAACATATTTTAATAACATAACATTCACTAAATTACATATAAAATAGTAAAAGAAATTTGTGAACATTTTTATTAACAAGAAAAATTATTTCTCAACTTTTAACTATTTTTTTAAACACTAATAATTTAATCCGGTAAAAATAACATACTAATTTAATCGCAAACAAAACACAAAACAACATTAAAAAAACACATTCAAGACAACTAATATGCATTATTATACGCGTTTCGACATAAACTAAATCGGAATACCTCGATTTATGTTTTTAGAAAAGTTGAAAAATTAAAATTTTGAGCCCAAAACGAGGAAACCACAACAATAGAAGGCTTGGGTTGTATGCGGGATCTACAATCTTAACTTTTTCCACGGGTGGGGTCCACTCGAATTTTTTTTTGAGAAAACGAGGGGGGGACCGCTGTTTGTTGGATTTAAAAATGGAGGTGTGTTCTGGTTTCTGTCGTGGGGAAGAAGGGGGGGGACTTTTATTTTAATAGGTAAAATGCAGTATAATACCGCGCTATATATAAAACACGGTATTATACTACGCTTTACTTTAACGACTAAAATTCCGTTAAAGTAAAACGCGGTATAATATCGCGTTTTATATAGAAAAGTAACTTTTTTTTATACTGTAAAAATGTGTTTTGAGTCCAAAATATTGACATTTAGGTTTACTCCAATACCACACCCAAAACTAGTCTACATCTTTTCTTGGCTCAAGAATTAGCTTAAACTTGAGAAAATCTATTTTTAGTAATTTGACAGTTGTTAGACACTAACAAAACTTAAAAAAGGAAAAGGGATGTGTTTGATGACCTGGGGTTGGGGGGGAGGGGGTCAGTGATGTGACTGCTGAGTTTTTTTTACCTTTTCTATATAAGGGCCACTCTGGGTTGTAGTCTTGTACACATTTATATTTTTGTAACATCATATTTTAACAGTCTCCAGAGACCAAAGGATCGACCCAAATTTCAGATAGCAAAATTAAAAAAAAAATCTATCTTTAGTGTCTATATTATATGTGTGATATAGCAGTGAAGTGCTTCTACACATAAAGAGAGCAATGAAGAAATGTGAGTTATGCAATAGTATAGCAAGAGTTTACTGTGAATCAGATCAAGCCAGTCTTTGTTGGGATTGTGATGCCAGAGTTCACGCAGCTAATTTCCTTGTGGCTAAGCATTCAAGAAATCTTCTGTGCAATTCTTGCCAATCACTTACCCCGTGGACTGGCTCTGGCTCTAAACTTGGTAGCACTGTTTCAGTTTGCCAGACATGTTTTCACAGAAATAATGATGGTGCAGATCATGATCTTGATCATAATGATACAGATGATGAAGATGATGACGGAAGCAGTGACGAAGATGATGGTGATAATCAAGTGGTTCCTTTGTCTTTTTCAACTACTGATCAGCCTCGTCCTCCGTCATTGGCGTCAAGTTCTTCTTCAAGTAGTGAAGAGTCTACTAGCAGATTTTACAGGAGAAGAGTAGTTGGTGTCTCCAATTCAACTATTGGGTTTTCACCTAACACAACAGATGAAAATGTTCGATCCCATTTTCGTGTATGGCTTTAATTTTCTTTATCATTATTTCTAACACAATCCAATAATGTTATCTAAAACTATAGTGTGCTCTGTTTTCTTTTGCATTTTCAGGGAATTTCAAGACCTGAAGAGAAGGTAAAGATGAGTTCATGGACTTGGAGATAAAATAGGGAAATTTTTCAGAGCAAAAGCTTCTCTGTTATCTGATTGATGAAGGGAAAGAGTATTGGCAGTGATAGATGGTCGGTATGAATAAATGTTGAAGAGTTGTAAATGACACATGAGGTAGCTAGTTTTTCATGTTTCCATCTGCTGTTGACATCAATCCTGGAGTTCTTACTTGGAAATTTATAATGATTTATTTCTTACTTGGAAGTCTGCTAGTATTATATTTATCCTTATTTTGTAGATGTGAATCTGTTTTAATTTTTTCATTTACAGCGTCTTTATTTTTATTTTTATTTTTATTTTTGGTTAGTTGAAAGCCAGATATGGCCGAAATCAAGATGTGGGAAAAAGATGATCGGACTGGACACCTCTCAATTATAGAAGTCATGGTTTTACTCATTGGCAAGCAAGAATGGTTTTTGCACCAAATACAATATAAGAATGCATGACATGTTGCTCATTCCTACAACAAAAAGATAGAGGCTTATTAATCACATTTTCTTCGATTTCATCTTAAGTGTCACCTACGATTTCTTTGAAAAGAGTTTGATACCACCCTAGGGGTGGCAAACAGGTGGGTCGGATCGGAAATGGGCTGGTCGAAAACGGGTAATGCAAAATCGAATAATTATCCAACTCGACCCATATTTAATAAGAAAAAAACAAGTTAATTGGCGGATAATATGAATATTCATATTATACATGGCTTCCGGTGCCGGCTGGAGCTTAAGGCCAATAAGGCAGGGGAGAAATTCAAAAATAGCCAGATTTACAAGTGGTCATTCAAAAATAGCCACAATTTCAAAAGTAATCGAAATTTAGCCACTTTTCATGTAAAGATAAATCTGAACGAAAACACTGTTCAAAATCTGAAAAATACTCCAGTATAATATACTGGAATTTCAGTATATTATACCGGTCCAGCATAATATGCTAGAAGTTCATACACAGGTGCACCGATCTCCAGTATATTATGCTGGAACTTTCCGTGTTGCAGCAAAATAGTGGCTATTTTTCAATGACTTTGCAAACACTGGCTGTTTTTGAATGACCAGTCCGAAAACAGGTTAGCCCGTGCTATTTTTACCTAAGGCAATGGCCTTACGCTCCCAAAATACTTAGGGCCCAAATATATATATATATATATATANTAAGGTGCCGACATCAAAATGCAAGATTGAAGTTCAGCTACTTCAAGTTCATAATTACTCCTTCCGTTCCAATTTATGTGAACCTGTTTGACTGGGTATGAAGTTTAAGAAAAAATGAAGACTTTTAGAATTTGTGGTCCTAAACAAGTCAAAATGGGGTCCAGAGTATTTGTGTGGTTATAAAAGTTTCTCATGAAGGTAGAATTGTAAAATTAAGCTAAATTGTTTCCAAATTTAGAAAAGATTCATTCTTTTTGGAACGGACCAAAAAAGAAATAGGTTCACATAAACTGAAAAAGATGGAGTATATAATATTAATAGTTTTTTTTAAAATCACTTGGTTAAAATAGTTATAGCTAAAAGTTTTATACATCTTAAATTGTAGTCAGTAGCTATTTTGTGTCTTTAATTCATCCCAACTTAAATCGATCGTCTTACAATGTTATTTTATAAAAACTTTTCTTAATTCTTTGAGTGCCTTTGTAGATATTTTTCATACTACTTTGAGAAGTAACTATTAAAATTCGTCATTAACATTAAATGACCCTAGAAACATAGTAGTTACTACAATATTATTTGTTTTAACTTATATCTAGAATTAAAAGTGCTAAGAGAAACCGTATATATAGTAGAAGAATATTCTAATTGGCAAACTCAATCAGGTAAAAAAGTGTTAATTCAATTACCATTAACAATTTCGATATCAGTGGTCTCGGTTGAAAAGGTTTTCAAAACTAAATCAATAAAGTCCAACATAATAACACAAGAGAGATTGAACAAATTAGTTAGACATTGGCAATAGTTAAAAATGATTATAACTTCTTTAGATTTTAATAAATTATAAGGGTAAAAAAAATAATTTAAAAAAAATTTAAGGCCTCACTTTTTATTTTCGCCTTAGGCCCTATATTACGTCGAGCCGCCCCTAATGGCTTCTTGAATATGATCACTTTGGGAAAAATTCCTGGTCTCCCAAACTTGAGGAACCCCCAATTTAGGACTTTACAAATGTAAAAGGTTAAACTCATTTGTTATCCATCGGTTATCCATTTCTAAGTGGATAATATGGTTCTTATCCATATTGACCCGTTTTTAAAAAATTCATTAATCCATTTTTAATGGATAATATGGGTTTCATTTTAACCATTTTGCCACCCCTACCACCACCTATTAAGGCGACGAGCGGTCCACCAAGCCATGTAAAAAAGATTTTTTTTACACGAATAATGCAAATATTGTGTTGTAGAAGGTTGACTCCTAGCCAAATAGCTCTTGCTAAAACAAAGTCTTTTTTTTTTTTTTCTATATAGATTTTAGAGGTAGAGGTATCGTCGAAAACAATCTTTCTACCTTCATAGGATAGCGATAATGTCTACGTACACTTTACCCCTCTTAAACTCCACTTTATGAAATTACACTGGGATATTTTTGTTTGTTGTTAACCTCGAGAAAAAGCGATTGATCTAATGGTCCAAAACTATATCAAGATAACAGTATTTACCTGTTCACATAATTGCCGTGTTACCCATGGTCCCAAAAACAAGCTCTTACCAATTAAAGTAAGATATTCTTGATTTTCTTCTTAGTGGCACGACGTTAAGGAAAGGAAATATAATCTATATTCCCTATGTAAGAACTACTACTTGAGTAGCCTTTTATAGCTAACTAAATAATGTCAAAGAGGACCCAAATTTAATAACCAATATTACTAGCTACCAGCCAACACAACCAAACTTTGAATAATTGAATCTTCTTACCGTGTGTTTGTGAGTCTCAAGTTTCCTTGTTATTGTTTCTATCTTGACATATGGTCCAATTTCAAACCAAACGGTCCACTTGTTGACTCAAGAAACTCTACAACAACTCTCCTTAATTTTCCTCCCCCCTCCCCCCCAAAACAAAACCCAACAACGTATGGAGGGTCCAAAAATTCTAAAAATATACCAATTGTTTCTGTTGTGGTATAAAGTGGGACCTCATTGAGATAAACAAAAATGTGGAGAGTTTGGCATATTCTACTTTTGATTGCTTCAATGGCTATCAATGGACCCTTGGACTCAAATGTCACAACGCAATTTGCTCACTTTAGAAGGATTGTGCATGAACCTGAGACACTTGTCGTTTTTATTGAAAGCTTTGCTCTTTAAAGCTTTGCCTTCTCCACAAGTTTTCTGCACCTCCCTTCCCCTAGCTAGCTTTTAAAGAGAAATAATGTAGCAATGAATTATTATACATTGCTCCAACTTTTGTTTTTTCTTCTTCCTCCATGTTTCATTGATTTGTTTTTAAAGTATGCATTATCTCATTAAAAATTTAAGTTATTATCACACAAAAAAAAAAGATACTTTATTTTAGGTCTGTAACATGTTCAACCGAGTACATAGAAATATTGTTTATGAGTTATGGTAGGACTCGGTGCCAAGATCTCATGTTAAAGTATAAGAATTCTTTTTTATTTTGGCTTTTTATAATATTAGTGTTGGACCAATCGTAATTTTCTTTCTCTTTGCTAAGGATCGAATTCGATTCTATATGATCTTCATTTCTACTTCAGCAACTATTAGGCCAAGTCTTGGGCAGGGGCGGATGTAACATTTAGTGGACAGGTTCAATTGAATCCATAACTGTTAAGACGGGACATAATTTTATGTATAAGAATTAATAAAATTACAAAAAAATAGTAGATATGAACCCATAACCTTACAAAATATAATGAGTTCAATATTAAGAACCTTAAATATTGAAACCATAAAATTTAAATTCTAGATCCGCCTCCGGTCTTGGAAGCCTGTATAACAGAGATGCTTTTATTTATTTATTATTGGGTATATAACCAAGAATCTTGGGATGAAAATTTGAAGTTAGTACAAATAAAAGCTAAGTCGAATATAAAAGTGGAAGCACATGTGCTGAGTTATTAAGGTTTCATTAGATTATACATGTCAGAGTGGAAGATTTAGGGAGAAGCTGACAGCTAAACATAATTTGTTAAGGTTAATGGACATACAATCAAGAATCTTAGGATTGTAATCTTTTGATTAGCATGCGAAGGACCTTAATCATGACGCTTTTATTAATCTATACCATTAAAATATGTGAGCAGGTGAAGAAGACTATAAAAATGAGATTAACAGACTCAAACATATTACACGCAAAGTTTTCGACATGGCCACGTGCACAACACAGACCCTATTAATAAAATTAATTGCAATTTGATATCAAATTCACGACATCCCCACGTGCCCTGTAAACCACTAGTTGTAATTTAATTGCATATCCGTCAAATTGTCTAATGTTAATGTTACTAACATTTAGGGTATTTAGCCTATGCATAAATACACGTAAAAATATTACACTATAATCAGTATATTTTAATCAATTTAGATGATCATTTACCTTATTTTTTTAGGTAACTAATTGACATGTATCATAAAAAGTTTCTTGTAATTTTCTCTTATGTGACCTGATAGTATAAAAGATTACTTTTACACTATTGGTATGCAAAAAAGTAAAACTATAGTACTATAATACTTTGGAAGTTGTTAACGTTCAAGAAAATTAGGGAATCTAGAAATAAAGAACTCTGTGTGGTCGTAACACATTGCGACGTAAACAAGAAAATTGGACTCTTTTGATATGTGTGGATGGTGTCATAGTTTTCAAAATTGTATCCACCATAACCATGGAATAAAATGATTTTTTTTAAGTCTCGTCTACTGCTTTTCTTAGGTACTGTCTTGTTTGTCCCTTTAAACTGAAAATATCTTTGGATTCTGTTTCACCTGATCAGATATTTGATTTGTGTATTTCAATTTCACAACCATAAAGACAATATGATTCCTGAAAATTTTGCTTTGGTTCGTTGAATCATAGCCACCGAAATCCACATTGACTTGGCCTTATCATTTAACAGTACCGAACTTACCTCAGTTTTTTTATTTTCTTTTTCCTTTTCGTTGCTTTTAACTACGGACTCAACTTCAAAAATAGATGATAAGATGTAGACAGTCTAAAGTTATATAAGGAGAGAAAAACTTACTTTTCAGTATTTTAGAAACTCTATCTTCCTCAGTTAACACGTACGTCTACAACTGATCGTTTGATTTGGAGCATAATTAAATAACATAACATGGCCCAATGTTGGATAAACTATTGAATATTAAGTAATTTGATAAGTGCTTGGTTATGCAAATATTTAATTTGTATTTTGTTTGTACAAATATGCTAATGTTTATGTTTGTGATATTCAAGTTTTTAAAAGAGAATAGATAGTTGAGAGGTAGAAGAACAGAAGAATTTTTATCTCAATATGGAACGTCCAAAGAGGGAAAAGAGCTGTCTAATTTTTGGACCAAGCAAGGATAAGACGAAAAGATGTTGACACTTGTTCCCTCTATTGATCATCAGAACTCAGAAGTAAATTAGATTCTGTCCCATATTAGGAATAGATATGACACAGAGATATTTTTTCTCTAGTATAGAGTGTTATAAAGAAGGCGTATTGTTGTTCAAGCTTAAGTATGTCTGTATACCAAATGTGTATACACTTAGTCTAAATCATATCACTTTATCTACAATTACTAGATTCTTAATCTACAATTACCGGTCTATTTCATTCTTTCAAGCTAATAATCATGATGCTAAGCAGAAAAAGCTAGTCCATAATCATTGATTCCATTTTTATGTGCCTATCTATATATAGTCTACACCTGCGGAACTTTAATTTAGTAGTCTTATTTTTTAAACCAACTTGACTACGACTGATACACTATCAAGTATAAAACTATAAAAGCACAACCAAATCACTTTTAAGATTCATCATATTAATTTTAAGGAACTCAGCTTTTGGCAACAAGGAGTCATTGAATAGTATTAGAAGTGTTTCTCTAATATCCTAAAGATATGTATCATCTTCTACGATAAGTTGTGCGCAAAATATCTTAGTAGTAAATTTTTCCAAGCAATGAACAACCTTGAAAAATGGCGTTGTTAAAAAAAATTGCCAACTTCCTTTCTTTGGCCACCAGAAATGCATAGAAGATGCTTCTCATTCACTAAAAGCAGCACTCGAATCTTTGAGCTGTAATCTGATGTGTTGATGGACCTCTATGGTTCTGGAACATATCCCCAAATTGACATTTTTCTTAACCACTCTATTTCTTCCAATTTCGACTACATAATTTGAGGTCTCCATCTTTTTTTGTTGGGAATAAGTTCCCCATCACTTCTTTCTTCCTTTCAAAATGACACCTGCAAAGCATTAACATTTCGCAATTTCCTAGAAATAGGAGATTTAGGGCGAGTTGTGTTAGTTCGTCTAAATATATTAGATTTTGAAAAATGACAGCGTATAACTACTGTAAAAATAATAGTAAAAAAAAAAAAATATATATATATATATATATATATATATATATATATATATATTTTTTTATATATATACACATTCTGTATGTTTTATATAAATTTTATACACTTTTTCGGCGACCAGATATAAATAGTTTCTGGTGCAGGGCTAAAAATGATAATACCCCTTACTTCTTACTTTTTGTTGGAATTGTATGTATATAGGATGTAAAAAATTAAAAGTTTAGACATATATAAAATTTCACACATTATATATGATTCCGCCTCTAAATCTTGTATTTGTATCCGGTCCTAAATGAATACTCCAACTCATGAGAGCCACTACACCTCAAAATTTTCTATTCCACACCAAAGTTGCACTTACCTTGCTCAGCTTGTATACTTCCCAAAATATCACTGAAGATATTTCCTTAGAAATTCCATGTACTGTTAATGTAGGACTTGAGTTGATAGTTGCAACCCCACCAGAGTCCATCCCCATTAAACTCTTTTTTGAAATGTACTTTTAAAGCTAAAACGCCACTTAACAACCATGTAGTAATTGCAAAACTTCACACAGAATGTTTCCCATAATTATGTACCCAATGACAAGTCCTCAGAATATGAAGCAAGACGGATTTGGACCATTTGGTATGGAAAAAAGTAGCTACCAGGCTTTCCGCTATTTGGTTACTTAAGTTGTTAGTAAATATTTTTTCCAAAGAATATTTTCCACTAGCATAAGAAAAATGAATTCAGTGACTTATGGGCAAAAGTATTTTTCCTTTGATAAATATCCCAACTCCAACTCCATATCTGATATCACTACTTAGAGCCCGTTTGGCTGGCCTAGCTGATTTAAAGTTGGTCAAAACATTATCCTACGCCTAGTCGCCTATTACAGAATCATACCCAACTAAATATTAGAAAATGATCCATAATGACTATGAAAAACATTTCATCCATGCTAAACCAACTCCCTTATGTAAACTACATTAATTAAGAGACAATAAAACAGATTATGGGGCGTAGGGACAAGGACTAGTTCAGCTATCTATATCTAGAAACTGCGATTTTCAGATAAATCTAAGGTTCAATTTGGGATATAATTACTGTAATAGGCCTTAGAAAAAAAATGAGAAAAGTGCCCCTTCACTACTTCAAGGATCCTTTCTTGCCGCTTGGCCATGAGTTTTGCCAAAATAAATTTGGGATTTATTTTCAAAAATCATGTTTGGCCATAAATTTTGCCAATATTTTGGCCAAATTCCAAATCTCAAATCTCAAATCCCAAAATCAGCTATTGAGCTGATTTTGGCCAAAATCCCAAAACTTAGGAATTATATACATGTTTTTCCAAAATAAAGTTGGAAAATATGTTTTAAAAACGTATGTCCAAACACATTTTCATCTTCAAACCAAACTTCACCCAAATCAGATTTTTCAAAATAAATTTGGGATCTATGGCCAAACTCTAGCTATATCTATGAATCTTGTTGTAAGTTATCTGACACACATAGGAGTACCAATTGAATCTCCAAAAAAAAAAAGGTAAAATAGAAAGAAAAGAAGAAGCAACTCTCTGGAATAAGAGAAAAAGTTCAGGCATAGTTGCAAGAAAATGCAATCAACATGGAAAGTTGTACAAAGCAGCTTCAAAAGATAGTTATTCCACATAAAAAGCAGGTAGCCATTTTTATAACCTAAAACAAAGAGAAGAAGCTCATGAACAATAACAATCATTTCAAACTTCATAAACTCGAAACACAGAAGACAACCATAAGCAGAAAGAAAGCACTGAAAACCACCAAACTCATTTTCCAAATGGCCCATGCCCACACCAAAACCAAGTCCGTCTCACTAGAGTACTTGAACATCTCTGCACCTTCAACTTACTCAAGAAGCCTTCTCCAAATCTGCACAACGAGGAGAGCTCAGTAATCAGCAATGTCATCCAGAAGAGTGAGTAAAACATGATTTTAATTTAATCGAATGACAGGGCGTTGTTTAGATGGAAGCACGTGCAGAAAGAAAGGCCTGGTTTTTCAAGGGATTTTCCCTTTTGGTACGGGTAGAAGACAGCAATTTGATAGGAATGTCCTCACAAGGTATAAAAGGTACCAAATACTAAGAAACAAAATCTAAGAGAAAAAAAAAGACAAACATTACACCACTCTATTTTGAGCTTTAAGAAGCAATTTGATAACACTTCCATATTAGCTTATCTTTAAGCTTTCCAGATTGGTTTTGGAACAGAAAATGGGCAGGCCTTTGTGTTGTCTAGTGACTGTCAGTATAATAAAAGGAGGATGGTTAGAAGCAGCCATTTAGAAATTGCAAACAGTCAATAATATTTAAATCTTTTATCACCTATCATGAGTTTCCATGGAGATCCCCCCAACTGATTGATCAGAATCCAGGTTTAAATTGTACATGCACATACAGTTAATAAAGCTTAAAACTATTTATGCATGAAAATTGTTATATAGCACTTCCAAATTTTTTTCCCCTTTTACAGTTGGCCCCCTTGGCACACTACAACAAAGATCTGACATAAGCCAAATTCTTGCATCATTGAACTTACTGCTTAAAATTTATACACCAATCTTTCCATCTTTATCTCGAAGAAAATAATAACATCGTTCATTCAATCTGTATGGTGCAAATGCAGAATGCCACTTAGTGGCGTGCTGAAAAGTCATGGTGTGTCAAACCAACTATAGCTCTCACTTGTCAGAAAAGGGAAAGATGCAAGAAGTACAAATTAGGGAGCTTGGAAACTAACATAATTCATCGAGATCACGAGATGTCAAGTTGGTACCAGACAGGGATCAAAAGTTTGGTTTTCAACTGGAGAACGTTCGACGCTGATGCTAGATGTCAGTGCTGAACAAGCACTGTGTTCAAGTTGAATGTTTCCAACTTCCTTCCTTCACCCTGCACTACTAAGTATCTTTACCTGAATGATAGGACCAGCATTTTCTCTTTCCACTTGTATCAATCAATACTCACCTCCTCAGAACCTCACCCACCTCTCTCCTCGTTGCCACCATTTTTACCAGCAACCATCCACATGCCTGATTCAAGACGCACGCCTCCCTCCCTCCCTCTCCTCAACCTGTACTTATCAACACCAGTTCAGACCTCGGTCACCATAATCCCGCTTTTGAAACACTGTTCACTCCTCGTCTATCTCTATCGTTACCTTTACACAGCAGCAGTTGCACCTACCTCCTCCACAGTGAAAACTTTATGTTGCTTACTTTCTTCCTCCCCTTTCTCCCATCTAAAAGTAATTGGAACCTAGGTGAAAAAGCTTCTTTTGATAGGTGACTTAAGAGAACAAACTATCTAATTAATGGTATTTATGATAAAAGCCCCACAACAACATATCTAGAAATGCAGCTGACTCTCAAATAGTACTATATCAACAACTAAAATAGGATGATTAGACAGTTATTTCTCAACCATACTCCTCTTTATAGTTGATTCATTGTTGATTGAAGACATGAAGATACAAAAGAATTACTGCTTTCTACTAATCGATCATCCAACAGACCAACAGTCCATTTGCAAAAATTATCAATTGTCGAGTATCAAAGATGTTAGGTGCTGAAACGCAACAAAATTGGTTCCACAATATTTTGTTAATTATGGATAGAGAATTGTCACGACCCGGATTTCCCACCCTCGGGTTTTGACCAAGCGGGCCCGGGGTCGATTTTGGAATTTTTGGGAGAAAGCTTAGAAATTCATATTTAGGCATTGGGTTTAGTTTGTTTAGCTATTATTAATATTGTAAAGTCACTATTTCATAGATTTGCCCGAGTTGGAGCCGAATTCGAAGGGTAAAGCTATACTAGAGGCTTGAGTTGAGTTTGGAGCATTCGAGGTAAGTGTTTGGTCTAACCCTAGCTTGAGGGAATAGGAGTAGAGTCTTATCTGTTAATTGCTATTTGTCGAGTACGGTGTATAGGCATGGTGACGAGTATCTATACATTGGTGTCGAGCACGACCGTGAGTCCTAATTTGCTAAATTATCGAATTGGTAATTGTTATTTATGAGGAACTGGTTGGAAATCTTTAACATTGAGCCACTAATTGTTGAGAATTAACTGTTAAGTAATACAAGGAGAACAACATATTGAAGATAGCTGAAACTAGATTATCATAATTAGCCAAGAAAATTATTTGCAAAGTTCTCAAGTTAGGAAATTAGGGTTTGCGACACCAAATACTCCATGAAAACATGAGCGAAGGGCTGACTTCTCAATGGCTCTATCAAAGAAAGGGATTTTAAGCAATTCTTTTAAGCAAAATATTAATAAGATTGCAGAGTAATAGACCTTTAGTAGTGAAAAGGGACTTCATAGTCACAAGACTTGCCTCCATAGTCATCAAGAAAACAAGATATACTCATTTTTCGGCTACATTTTGGCGGTAACCACAGTTTAAGAATAAGGCAGTCTACAAATGACATGTACAAATTCTAAGCAATAACTTGCAAATTAGAACAACAGGACATGCTCTTTAAAGCAAGAATTACTTGCTTAATACATGATGCAACTTCCATAAAGTAGCAGTAGAAGAATCCCATTAGTACTAGGAGGAGCGAATGGTTAAAGCAAAGCTCAGCTTTAAAATCTATGCTTATTAAGAAAACCACATATTGACTTCTCTATTAACCCACTTCTAATAAATTTTTCAGAATTACGTTTAAGCGGGAAGACTGAGCCTGAAGAATAAAACAATCCCCTCATACAAACCAACTATCGAGATAATTTAAAACCAGCTTTGATTTTGAAAAATAAAAGCCATTTCATCAGAGAACTCAAGCGAGAACCAACAGAATAAAACAGACAGACAAGAGAAAACTAAATTGTCAAGTGAGAACTTGCTTTGCAACTTTCAGTTGTTACTCTTGAATCTTGATAAGTGCGAGTGTCAGTAATGGTTTTGTTTGTGGGAAAAAGAGGGTTTACTGTTTAGCAGTAACCAAAAACATGGTCATGTGGAATAAATCAAATTCGTAAGCAGAAAAGAGAAGAGGGTTCAAGAACATATGTACAAGGTAGCACAACTTCAGGGAACATAACAAGGTAGCAGATAAACTAGCTAAATATGGAAGCAATATGCAACTGACTAACAGTACCAGCATAGTTCATTTTGCAGTTCCTCGTCTATTTGCCTTAAAGGTACTAGAGGCAGACAAATTAGAAACTACTTATCCTAGAAGCATAACCATATGTAGTGATGCTACGATATGTAATGTTTATCCTTAATATATAAATATTATCTTTTGCAGCCAAAAGGAATAGCACAAGGTGGAGGCTGGCATTAACATTCCCTTTCTTTTCTTTTCACAATATGCAATACTATTCTTGGCTAGGTTTTTTCTGAATTTTCATGCATTTCCATACGTGACCAGCATACAAAACACCCAAACTAACTTGCAGATGTTCTAGCATTGAGAAAGCATAAGTATTATATTCCAAGGAAACGATAGGACAGCTTAGGTAGTTGAGTAGGCAGAACTAATAGTGTTCAAGGGAAGGGGGAGGAAAAAGAGATGAAATTTATTCTCTAACAAAAGTTAAATATCTCTACTAGATTAACCATGAAAAAAAATTTCTCCTAAATTTTGCCCCAGCAATCCAAATGCAGTTAATGGTGTATCATCTACTGGTCTGAAGCAAAAGCTTACATATGTACACCAGCTCAGAAAAAGACACGAGAACACGGTGTAAAAGGGAAACATAAGGCAGAAAACCAAAATAAATGATCACAGTGAAATACTCAAAACCGTGCTCACAGACTACAACCCCATAAAATTCTCCTATAATAAATACATGACTCATTAATCAACAATCATCCAATGGTAAAGAAACAAAATAAACTTTGCCAAGGCATCACTCATGACTAGCTTAGCTGGTTGCAGCCAAAAACTACATTCAGCTCATTTCCTAGCTGATAATCAAACTCCTTGATGGAGTAATTACAACAGACCACTTTCACATACCTAAAGGTACTCAAAAAGATTGAAAGACAAAGGTGCAAATGCATGAACCATCATATAAAATTACGACCTTTTGAGGTAGTAATCAACATCCAATCATTCAAACAAAACTTATATCGCTAAACAAAAACCATACAGAATCAATGCCTACTTACAAAGAAATTACAAACTGTAATCACTAAGAGATACCTGCAGCTTTATCCTCGGCATCATGGTATATTGGTTCATCCTCAGGCACAGGGTGAAGATCTGTCTCTTTTTTAACTGAACCTTCATTTGCATCATCAGCAGCGACCCCATCTTTATCATCAGGATATCTAACAACAACAACAGGGCAAACACAATGATGCACACAATAATCACTCACACTACCTAGCCTCCCTCCTTTTATGCTACGCCTCGAAGCACCAAACCCTCTACTCCCCATTATCACTGCACTCAAACCCAACCTCTCTACTTCAAGACACAGCCTTTCTTTCATATCATGATCCTTCACTATATGAATCTTGAACGGTACATTCCCTTCAACGAGCGGCTGTGCTAAATCATTAGATTTTGTAGTTGTGAAGTTATCAAAATCATCTTCTAATTTCTGCTGTGATTCTTCATTTGTAGTGTCGTCAAGGGGGACATCAATAGCACCCCAATCAGCGCCGTAGAGAACGGAAGTTGGACGGACGTGGAGGAGGATAACGGCGTCACCTGGTCGGAGGTAATTTTGGACGGCCCATTTGACAGCGTAAGCGCTTTCGTCGCTAAGATCGACGGCGATAGCGATCTTTCGGTTGGCGCGTGAAGTGGGTGTTCCGGAAGGGAAACGAGGAGATGCAGGTTGGTGCATGATCGCCGTCGGTGGTCGGTCGGATTCTGCCGGTGGCTTTTTCGGTGATGCCATAAATGGAGAACTGGAAATGGGTATTGGAGAATTTGGAAAGTTATTGAGTTTTTTGTGATATCCGATGTGTGTGTGTGTGTTTCTTCTTGGGATGGAAGAGAATGATAATAGAAGATGTTTGGGAGAAGAAAGGTTACAAGATTTAGCTGGATCGAGTGTACTAGATGTTCTTTGCACCTCTTTTCTATTTTTTTAATTAATGTGAAATGGTCAATATTTTGACTTTTGGCTAATCCTATCCAGTACAATACGGTACACTTTGATTATACTGTATTTAATTTCAGATTTCTTTTAAATGAAATTGGATCTAATACTACTAGTGCTAGTGTACGAAATGAAGAATGAATTGTAAAATTTTCTCTATGTATTTCATCACTGTTAACAATGTATATATTAAGAATGGCAGGAAAGAGAAACTTTGTATACTTGTCCTATTCTAATTTGCCTACTAATAATAAATTTATTCATTCTACTCAACTAACTATATTCCCTCACATGTTAGTCACGTGAGGGAAGCTTCTAGTATTAGGATTATCAAATGGTCTATATTTAATCTATCATGAAATGATTTGCTTGATTGAAAGGTTTTGGCTCCTCCACGTGTTCCAGACAATCCACTGAATGTAACCTATGTAACATAGGTTATATCAAAGATAGCCACTTTGGTCTGAGAACAAAACATATGAGATTCTTTCTTCTAGGTCTTCTTCTTCTTCATTTCCTCTTCTCTATCTGTAGGCAAAACTCCATGAAAATCATAATTAAGATGGGGTTTCTTCTTCCCAACATCCCCCTCAAGTTGGAGGGGAATCTTGCGACCCCTAACTTGCCCAAAATATCTCGATGAGAAACTCCAGAAAGAGGCTTTATGAAGAGGTCTGCGAGCTGAGCTTTGGAAGGGACAAAGGAAAGAGTGATTAACCCCGAAAGAAACTGTTGGCGCACAAAATGACAATCAATTTTGACATGTTTTGTGCGTTCATGAAAAACGAGGTTACGAGCAATATGGACTGCTGCTTTGCTATCAAAGTAAAGAGGAATTGGTAGATTGACTGGTGCAGAGAGATCCACAAGTAATCGTACTAACCACGTAAGTTCTGTAGTTACCCTTCTCATAGATCTGTATTGTGTTTCTGCAGAAGATAAAGAAATTGATACTTGCTTCTTTGATTTCCAGGAAATAGGAGCTCCTCCTAGTGTTATGAAGAAACCACTTACGGACCTCCTTGAATCCTTGCAAGAGACCCAATCAGCATCGCAAAATGCTAGCAAGGAATATGATGGTTCAGCTGAAAGGAGAATACCTTGGCCCGGATCAGAGCTGAGGTATTTGAGTACTTGTAAAGCAGCAGAGAAGTGAGAAACGCATGGTTTCTGCATGTATTGATCGAGGGTGAGTACAACAAAAGAAAGATTAGGTCGAGTATTAGTTAAATAATTTAACTTTCTGACCAAGTGACAAAATATAGTGGGATTTTGCAGAGGCTGGTCATCATCAGCTTGAAGCTTGAAAGAAGGATCCAAAGGAGAGCTGACTCAAGGAAAATGAGACACATCAAACTCCTTCAACATGTCTAAGGTAAATTTCCCTTGACTCACAATAAATCATGTCTTTTATCTCAAAATTTCCATGCCTAGAAAATAATGTATATTTCCCAAATTCTTGACTTTGAACTCGGTATTAAGAAAATCCTTGATGCTTTGAATTTCGTCTAAGTCATCTCCTGTGAGTATTATGTTGTCAACATAGACAGCTAAGATAGAAATAAGACTTCTTGTGCGTTTAAAAAACAAAGAATAGTCCTTCAGTGATGAAGATACATTAGTACTGAATAGACCGTTAGACTTAAGACTGATAGGTTCTAATACGTAGAGTCCCTCTCTAACTTCACCAAAAGATTGTGGGCTCTTCATTGAAAGGCCCTGCAACACACACCCAATAGATGTGAATAGGACATCATATTTGAACTGAATACAAAACCTATGAACTGACAACAGATTGTATTTAAAATCTGGAACATGTAGCACATTGTTCAAGACATGACCTGACAAAATAGAAACACTCCCTATATGAGTAACAATTACCTTGAAGAATTAGGTAAACTGATGTTCAAAGGTACATGAAGTTGAGTTAGATACAAGAAAGAGTTAGGATCAAAACACGTGTGCGCTGAAGCACATGAATAATGATCCAGGTGTCTGAATTTAGAGTAGTAAACACTGAACCTGAGTATTTTAGAATAGTACCGGCAACTGCATTAGCATTGATTCCTGAGTTTCTTGCTTGTGCCAACTTTGCCTCCTTATAAATGCTCATCATTTCTGCAACTTGTTCCTTGTTGAGTTGCTGCCCAAAGTTGATATTGTTGTTTTCAGTATTTTGTCCTCTTGTATTCTCATGATCTTCATGTGCCAAAAATGCATTTTTCTTGATCTGATTTTAATAACCTTTGTGATAGGTAAACTCAAATCATCTGGAAATCTAATGTTTCTGTAGCAATCTTCTTGTGTATGTTATGTTTTTCCACAATAAGTACAAGATACATTTGGATTGTACTTCTTCTTTCCCTTAAACTTCTGGTGAGGTTTGGTGAACTTTTGTCCCGAATTGTTATATTTAGGTGCCATGTTTGTTCCTCTTTGTGCTTGGTTTCTGTTTTTCTGAAAATTTCTCCCTTGTCCTGTGACCATAAAAGCTGCAAAATAAGCTAAAGGTCGAGCATTAGGCTGCTTGGCCTCTCTAGCTGCCATGAATAAAAGTGAATCAGAGTTGAAGTGTGCATTTACATAAACTTCTCTTTGATTTTCATATTTCAAAAGAAGTGAATAGGCAACATCCATAGTAGGCAAAGGATTCATCATGAGTATATTTCCTGTTGCTTGTGCATAAATGTCATTCAAGCCCGTTTGGAATTGAATCAATCTCTGGTCTTCAAGTGACTTAGTTAACTTTGTTTTCCCTTCACAAACACAAATACATGAACAACATATGATAATATTTAAAGCATCCAATTCATACCATAGTCATTTGAGTTTAGTAAAATATCATGCAATGTCATTATTACCCTGCATTAATTTTGATAGCTCTTTCTGCAGATGATAGAGCTTGGCTCCATTTGATCTTCCAAATCTCTGCTCCAAACTGCCCAAAGCTCTTTTGTAGTTTTGGAGTATATCACACTGTCTGTAATATCCTTAGAGAGAGCACTCAGAATCCAAGATATCACCATGTCATTGACACAACTCCATTGTTCATGATCTGGAGACTTCAAATCTGGAGATTGACATGCTTCATTGATGAAACCAAGTTTCTTCTTGGCTAGCAAAGGTAACAGAATAGATCTCCTCCATCTTATATCCTCTTCCATCAAACAAAGTGATGACTAGAGTCATGCCAGGAGAATCATAATTGTTAAGATGATAAGGATGATTGATATCATAGCTCACTGCCTTTGCAACATTGCTGGTATCTCCGGTGATGGTTGTTTCATGCATCTTAGTTTACTGATTATGAAAAATGAATATGATGTAAATGAACTAGATGATTGAACTGTTGAATCGAGCTTATTGCTCTGATACCATGTATAAATAAAGAATGAATTATAAAATTTTCTCTATGTATTTCATCACTGTAATGGCAGGAAAGAGAAACTTTGTACATTTGTCCTATTCTAATTTGCCTACTATTAACAAATTTATTTCTTCTACTCAACTAACTATATTCCCTCACATGTTAGTCACGTGAGGGAAGCTTCTAGTATTAAGATTACCAAATGGTGTATATTTAATATATCATGAATTGATTTGCTTGATTCAAAGGTTCTGTCTCCTTCACGTATTCCAAACAATCCACTGAATATAACCTATGTAACATAGGTTATATCAAAGATAGTCACTTTTGTCTAAGAACGGAACAGATGAGATTCTTTCTTCTAGGTCTTCTTCTTCTTCCTTTCCTCTTCCCGGTCTGTAGGCAAAACTCCATGAAAATCATAATTAAGATGGGGTTTCTTCTTTCCAGCAACTAGTGTTTTAGTACCTTTCTTTCCTTATCTCATCTCTCGCTTTTATGTTTTTCTTCTTCTTTACCTTTGCCCCCCC